TCATTCACTATCTACCAATTATTTCACTATTGCTCTATATTGTTTCCTTAGTGCTGGGATCATTTATATATGTATTTCTTTTATGTTGCATATTTTTAATTTATCTGTTAGTTATTACATGTTACTTTTGCTACAGTAACGGTTCAGAAGTGTACTTCCAAAATTTAGCTGTGAAGTGAATGGACTGAGTGAGCCAGAACCGGAGGCCAGAAAATATCACAGTAATTCTAAAAAAGATAGTGGACAGTTAGAGGAAGAGAGTAGCGGTGAAATTGCAGAAACATAGATGTGTTCAAGAGAAAATTAGGAAGTAGAATCAACAGCTTAGATGTAGGGACAAGAAAGGTCAAGGATGACACCAGGGTTTTTAACTGGAGCAAGTAGGTGGATGGAATGTTCCTTCCTGAAGAGTGGGAACACTGAAAAGGCAGATCAGATCACACATTGTCTCGAAGGGCATGAAGAGTAGAAAGCCTGGGGCAGATCCTGAGATGACCAAGATCCATGGTGCAGGTAGAGGGAGGGAGATCTGCTAAAAAGACGGCAAGACTGCCAATGTCAGGAGAGTAGAAAACCATGAGTGTGAGATGTCCTAGAAGCTGAGACAGTATCATGTTTGAGAACACTTAAATGGTAACTGACAAAAAGTGGGAGGCCACCTGGACTCCCATGAGAGTGAGACTCTCCCACACTTGTGTGGGTTTTAAAGCCCACCATTTTCTGGCAGTAAAGATCTCAAAAGGGTCCTCTTGTGGGTCTGGCAGGGAAAGAAGAATCATTTTGAAATACACCCAGAACCTGCTTCAAAACAAAGGCCTACTCTTAAGGGGAAAATGCTTTGCCAGAGTCTTATCCCAGCTAGAAGATAATTCTTCCCCCTGCAGCCTCCTCTAAGCTTTCTGCCTCACTTAAGGAAGGAAAAGCAGTCAACAGGGGTTAGAGTTCCTTGAAAGTAAAAAAAAGGCTCGAGCATAAAAGGGCAGTGTGATTAATTTGAATACATTAAATCAACAACTTTGATGCATCATGAGATACCCTTGGCTGGGTGCAGTGGTGGCTCACATCTGTAGTCCCAGCACTTTGGGAGGCCAGGGTCAGTGGATTGCTTAGCCCAGGCGTTCAAGATCAGCTTGGGCAACAGCACCATCTCTACAAAAAAATACAAAGATTAGCTGGGCATGGTGGCCTGCACATGTAGTCCCAGCTACCTGGGAGGATGAGGTGGGAGGATCGCTTGATCCTGGGAGGTGGAAGCTGCAGTGAGCCATGATTGTGCCACTGCACTCCAGCCTCAATGACAGAGTGAAGACATGTTATAGAGTAAGAGGAAATACTGGCAACACATAAAATGGACAAAGGGATTGTGCCCAAAATTTAAAAAAGAAAAGACAGGCCAGGTTCTGTGGCTCACACCTGTAATCCCAGCACTTTGGGAGGCTGAGGTGGGCGGATCGCCTGAGGTCAGAGTTCGAGACCAGCCTGGCCAACGGGGTCAAACCCTGTCTCTACCAAAAATACACAAATTAGCAGGGCGTGATAGCACATGCCTGTAATCCCAGTTACTTGGGAGGAGGAGAATTGCTTGAACCCAGGAGGCAGAGGTTGCAGTAAGGGGAGACAGCGCCACTGCACTCCAGTCTGGGTGACACAGCAAGACTCCATCTCAAAAAACAAGACAAAACAAAACACAGCTTTGTTAAACCAGCAAGAAAAAACACAGTCTGTTATGGACTGAATTGTGTCCTCCCAAAATTGATGTTGAAACTCTAACACCCAATGTGACTGTATTTGGAGATAGGACCTTTATGAAGATAATTAAGGTTAAATGAGGTTATAAGAATGGATTAGTAATCTGATCAATCTGGTATCCTTATAAGTGAAGGAAGAGACATGAGATCATTTTATGGGCATACGAAGAGGTCACAGGAGGACACGTAAGGCGACTGCTATGGTTTGAATGTGAGATGACATCTCTCATCTGCCATGAGATAACACAGCAAGAAAGCCTTTGCCAGAGGTGGGCCCCTTGACCATGAGTTTTACAGCCTCCAGAAATTTAAGAAATAAATCTCTTTCTTTATAAATTACTTGGTCTCGGGTATTCTATTTAGCATCAGTCTAAGACAGCAATTATTTTCAGATCAAGAGAGCCTCACTAGAAACTGAATCTCTTGGCACTTCGATTTAGGATTTTTGACCTGGCATCTAGAACTGTGAGATAATATATTTCTTTTGTTTAAGCTACCTAGTCTGGTATATTTGTTATGGCAGCCCAAGCAGACGGATATACAATCTAATTAAGAAAAAAATGGGCAAAAGATATAAAATAAAACCATAATGAGCTACTGCTGCACATCTGCCACAATGGATAACATTTTTAAAAGACTGCAAATTTTAATTGGAAAAAAAGTGTTGAGAGGTATATAGAAGAACAGGAATTCCCAGCTAGACTACACTCAACATGAGGTTTGTGAGGTTCATCCATGTTTGTTTATCACTGTGGTTTTAATTTTCATTTCATTGTATGTAAACCTATATCACCACTTTCAGAAAGAGTTTAGCATTTGGCCCGACAATTCCTCTCCTAGGTATACAAACAATAGATATGTATTCCTGTATATACCAAGACACATACACAGGAATATTCACAGTATTGTTTATGTTAGCTGAAAAAGGGAAACAAATATGCATCAACAATGGAGTAGATACCTAAACTGTGGCACAATGATGAAAAGAAATATTACATAAAAATAAAAATGAATTAAAGTTATACACAGCAACACAGATTAATCTGTTCAAACTTAATGTTTTGGGTGAAAGATACCAGGTACAAAGGAGTACCTGTGTTTTATTTCCATTTTATATGTTTCAAAAACAGGCACACTAAATTACAGCATTAGACATCAAAATAGGGGTTATGTTTAGGGTAGATGGAGTCATCTGCGACAGGAAGCAAGCATGAGGTGGCTCTGGGAGGGCTGGCTGATTTTCTGTTTTTTTACTTGTGTGGCAATTATTATGGTGTTCATTTTGCATTCATTTATTGAGCTTTGTATTTTTGTTTTGCTATGATTTGCTGTTTATATATTATGCTTCTCAGTTTAAAGAATGTTGCAATCTTCTAATGAGAAAATTTTTTTCAATGAGAAGGATTTTAAGCATTCAGAATCAATTTAAAATCTTCAGTTTGCTTTATATATAGTTCTAGAGACTGCTTACCTGCTACTCATATTTTTCTTCATTTATCAATATTGAAATAAGAAATTAATGAAATTAAAATAATGACTCTTTGTGGCACAGTTAAGGACTATGTAGTGTACTAATAGTTTTATAAATAAAAGAATAAAATTAAGCCACCAGGGAGTTGTTACTGTCATTGACCTACTGCTATTTCCCATGGTGCACCTTCTCTCCATGGAGGGACATGAGATACTGCATGTTTATGTGTCACTTTCACCATGTCTCCAGGCCATATTTTAGAGAAGTAGAAAATCGTAAGGTCTATACAGGCTGGATTTAGGTTCGTATCCTTGAACCTTGCATTCTCTCTCAAGAGCCAACTGATAAGTGAATGATCCTATGAAAAACACAGAAACACAGAGAATGGTCGTAGATAGTGGACATTTACCAAGCCTATTTTCTCTTTTCCTAAGCACGGAATATAAATAACTTACCTTCCTCCCTTGGAGTTAGGAGTTCTTATGTAGAAAGGAAAGCAAGGTGACCTTCAAGAGAGTTTGGAAGAGGGAGTGATAAGTTTAAAGAGAGCACCCATGGATTCATAGATAGTAACTTATTCCACTCTCCTTCTCACTCTTTTGCATTGACCATGGCTTAGAATGTATTTGAGGAAAAGCATACTGTCCATAAGGTATTATTGCCGTTTAAAGCTGATGGGGGGTGTTATGGGATGGTACTCAGTGAGAGCAGGACAGAGTCTCTACAGAATTTTCTCTGACAAAAACTAAATGACTTCCAAGGCATCTCTAGCTTTAAGCATTGCACAATTCTTTGGAAAGCTGGAATCTACAATTGCCTTAAAATTAAAAAATAAGAGCAGTAAGGGTGGACAGCCTTTACAGCATTTTATATAGAATCATCGAACAGCATGGTACTGGTGCTTGAATAGACAGAAGGACTAATGAAACAGAAGACAAAGTCCAGGACTGGTGCCACGGCTCACACTTATAATCCCAGCATTTTGGGAGGATAAGGTGGGTGGATCACTTGAGGCCAGGAGTTTGAGACCAGCCTGGCCAACATGGTGAAACCCCATCTCTACTAAAAATACAAAAATTAGCCAGGTGTGGTGGCAGGTACCTGTAATCCCAGCTACTTGGGAGGCTGGAGGCATGAGAATCTCTTGAACTCGGGAGGCAAAGGTTGCAGCCAAGGTCATGCCACTGTACTCCAGTGTGGGGGACAGAGCGAGACTCTGTCTAAAAAAATAAATAAAATAATAAAATACAACCTAAAACCTAGCAGTCTCAACCCTGGAATTCTATTCAATGGCACCAAGTTCAGAAGTGGTAACTGGAAACATCAATGCTTATCAAAAAGAAATGGGTGAATAACTTATGCTACTCCAAAGAAGGATTTCTTTAATGAGAGAGTTTTAGAAAAGTCTGGATAACAGAAAAGCAACATGCAGAAGTGTATATAATATCATTGTAAAAAATTTTTATTTTTGTTTTGAGACTGGATCTAACTCTGTTACCTGGGCTTGAGTGCAGTGGCACAATCTCTGCTCACTGTAGCCTCTACCTCCTGGGTTCCAATCATCCTCCCACTTCAGCCTCCCACGGAGCTGGACTAAAGGTGCCTGCCACCGGACCTGGCTAATTTTTGTATTTTTTTTATAAAGACAGGGTTTCACCATGTTGCCTAGGCTGGTGTTGAACTCCTGAGCTCAAGCAATCTGCCCACCCGGCTTCCCAAAGTGCTGGGGATTACAGGTGTGAGCCACTGCACCCAGCCTTTGTTTTTTAAATTAATAATCCTAATCAAGACAAACCAACTATGCATACCAGGCTAGGCACAGTGACTATAATGTCAACACTTTGGGAGGCCGAGGATAGCTTGAGGCCAGTTTCTAGGCAACATGGTGAGACTGTCTCCACAAAAAATAAAACATTATCCTGGCTTGGTAATGTGGGCATGCAATTCCAGCTACTCTGGATGCTGAGGTGGCAGGATAGCTTGAGCCCAGGAGTTGGAGGTTACAGTGAGCTGCGATTATGCCACTGTAGTCTAATCTGGACAACAGAGTGAGACCCTGTGTCAAAACATTAAAAAACAAAACTGAAAAAACAAAACCATGCATGTATATAGGGGTATGTAAAAGACTTAGTTCAAAGAAAAACATATTTCTCACAAAAATAGGTGCAAAAAAACCGTTTTTTTTTTTTTTTTAAAGGAATACATACGTAGCTACTACATACTGGTTTGAGGGAGGGGGAACAGGGATGTGATGTGCCTGTATTGCTGACTTTAGTTGGTGAAAGTAGCTAAGCAAAGCAAATGAAAAAAGACTGACAGTTTGAAAAATACAACTGATTATTAACTCACATGCAAAAATAAACTTTTAGAACTAATTGAGCTGCACTAAGGAAAAGTGAGTAAACTTGGCTGATCATATACTACTGTTTTTGTCAGATGTAAACAAAAATCCAGTTATTAAAATCTGAACCCCAGAATTAAAATTGCAAAAGCTTAAAGGGGCAGTCCTCAGAAAAGGATCTTCAGTATTTAATGTATGGACTCCACCAGGGTTGAAAATCCTGTGAAACACGATCCAGTTAAGCACAGCAATTTTCAAATATCCAATCAGAGCGCTTCTGTTTCTATAAACAGACACCGAACAAGGGCTTTTGGATTTCAGCTGTAAAACTCCACTGCAACTAAGATCCTTTGTCCTGACGAAGGCCTAAGCCAAATCGATAGCCCTCAAATGCACCCAGGATAATAAGACGCTGCGCAAAGCAAGAGCATTTTGCGTTTCAAAGTTCTGTCATGATGGCGCTGCAGAAAGCAAGCGAACTAGGCCTACCTGGTGGGGATTTTAGAGGATGCCAACGTGGGCGCCAGCCACGCCAGCAGGGTCACTGTCATCCCCAAGGACAGACAGCCCGCTAAACACTCCTGCGAAGGAGTGGTTAAGCCATGAATTTTACCAACTAAGAAGCATTTCCCAATTTCAGAAAAAGCTACCTTTGGCAATATTGACCCAAGAAGTCAATGTTCCCACTTTAACCTTGCACATAATAAAAAGCCTCAAGCCCGAGACGGGGATTCGATCTTGGTTTTACACGATTATGACTAATTAGCTTTGTGAGACGCGGGACTTCGGGCTACTTACAGAAAAAGCCCCAGGTAACTGTAAAACACCGATTTTCTTTATTCGGCGCATTTTAAGTCACCTTGCTATCTTTGATAGCCTCATCTGGTAGCAATTAGCTTTACTCAACCTATGTTAAAGTTTCTCTTGACTCTCCAAATGATACTAATACAATTGCGGGCGTCTTCCATTTTACTGGGGGATTCTACCTGTGTACCACAGCTCTTTTCCTGAAATATGTAGGTGGCTCTTAAAAGAGCCGTTGGGTTAATGTAAGAAGCTTCCAACTGGAATTTACTTTTTCTTGGGTGCTGCTTTCTTGGGTTTGGCAGTCTTTGGCTTCGTCACTTTAGCCTTGGCCGCCTTGGGTTTTATAGCCTTGGTTTTAGCAGGGCTTTTGGTTACTTTTTTGGGCTTTACAGTTTTGGGACTCTTCGAGGGCTTTCTTGTGGCGGCAGGCTTTTTAGCCTTTTTCGGAGTCTTCACGCTTTTTATGGTAACAGCCCCCGTGACCTTTTTGAGCTTTCTAGATGCGCCCGTTGCCTTCGTTTTCGCCGCCACCTTTGAGGCGCCGCCCTCGGCTTCCACGGAGGATGCTTTCTTGTTGAGCTTGAAGGAACCTGAGGCGCCGGTGCCCTTCGTCTGCACCAATGTGCCCTTGCTTACCAGGCTCTTAACGCCCAGCTTAATGCGGCTGTTATTCTTTCCCACATCGTAGCCGGTGGCCGCCAGCGCCTTTTTAAGGGCAGCCAATGACACACCACCACGCTCCTTGGAGGAAGCAGCAGCCTCCACGATCAGCTCCGACACAGATGGGCCCGCGGGTTTTTTCCTGGTGGCTGCTGCACCCTTAGCTGGTTTCTTGGCCTTCTTGCCAGCTGCCGATTTCTGAGGATCAGCTGAAGCGGCGGAAGCTGGAGGCGCCGTTTCGGACATGGTAACGGAGTACAACAAGTAAAGCTGGTAAAACCTGACAAAGCAGGATGCTAAGAAACGCCCCCGACGCGGCGTATTTATAGAGTGGGACTGCGCGGTGATTGGTGCCTGTTAGTGCCCCGCCCCTCGCAGTGCCGAGGGTTTTGTCCACTCTCAGAAGGCAGTTGGGGGTCTCTGGGGCCTATAGTCTTGCTTCGCTCATCGCACAGCAAACACACGGAAAAAGCCGCCCGGGTTTCTTCGTTGTGAAGGAAATTGTAGGCAGACTGCCGCCCAGTAACATCAGAGGGTGCAGCTTCTCTCTAAAAAAGCAGCTCTTTTTTAGGGAGTGGGTTGAGGGGGAGCAGTTTGTAAATGCAGCCCCATAAGCATCTGAGGAGTTTTATTATAAATTATTAAAGGTCCGTTGCCAGAGATGTTCGTTTTTGATTTGCAAGAAATGCAAATTTCAGTGTTTTGAATAATTGGGGAAGGAGAGAGGAAAGCGCCGGTTTTAGGTCGCGTTAGGGCTAGTTGTCACCAACTCTTACATTTTCTGGCAATGTTTTAGAGCGATGTGTCTGGCGAATACCTTTCACGTCAAAGAAGAATGAATCGTAAACGCCACCAGTATTCACTAACGCTGCAAAAGTGTGGAAAAGTTTCTGCCATTGCAACTTATTTCCACAGTCCAATGCACTTCAGGAATTTCCAATACCCTTTTCACCCATACAACATGCCCCAGATGGGTGCTAAGGTTTACAACCTGTGTTTCATCTCAGCACATACCATCAGCCTGTCATGATATGGTCAACTCATTCTTTTATTCAACAAAGATTTATGGGCCTCACAAGCCTGTGAAAGGTGTTAAATAAATGCTGGGTAGACATCGGTTCCCTGACAGGCATTCTCCTGGGAGTTTAAGTCCCCTTAGTGTGAAAACAAACGGCACACCCTGGGGATAAGATTTTATGGTAACCACCTTTTAACTTTTTTGTGGCTGTTAAAGCATTTCAGAGTATCAATAAGCTAAACGATCTCACATTCCCAGTCACAGACTCAGGTAACGGGAGAATAAACAGCTATTAAATCGACATCCCCTTCCACAATCCTATTCTGTATAACCCCCTAGCACAGTGGAGAGTGAGGTAATGAGGCCTTATTTCCACTCGTGCTGTTGTAGTTTTCAAATAAGTTCGTGCTGTGCTAAGTAACCTGAGCTTCTCTCCTTTTCCTTCAAACAATGTGCCAACCAAATAATGTAGGAGTCCCAGATAAATATTGTGTCAATCTTCTGCAGTAGTGCTTCTTACGCCTCATTTTATTGAGAAGCCATGCTTTCAAATGTTTCACGTAATTTCTAAGAATTTGGAAGATAATAGTTGGAAACTATGCATCTTGGTTTGACGGCTAGTCAGTTATGAAACGCAGGTATACACGCTTGGAATATTTTTGTAACTAAACCCTTTTTGAAAGATATTAATCTTTCTTACTGTAATAAGCGAGGCATCTGAAAAAACGCAACTTTTAAAAAGGAAATACTCCGAATTATCTTATTCAGAGATCATGGGTTCTGTCTCCTTTGTTTCAATTGGGTTAAAATGGCTTCAAATAAAATGTGAACGCTCCATGCAAATGAAGGATGCTAGATCTGTTTTCTAAGTGGCTGTTCGACAAAATAGCCTAAACCAATCAAAAGGTAGAATATGGCCTGCCTCCTGTTAATATAAAAGAGGTCACAATTCATATTTTAGTGTTTTGAGACTTTTAAAATGATTGCATTAGCTTTTGGCAATGCTAAATTATGTTCCTTGCGGAATACCATCCAGTTTCTCTTGGGCCAAGTCCACCTCCTGCTCCCAAAAGGAACAATTCCCAGCTGGTGGTACCTGGCGGCGGTGAAGGAGAACGGCCATTTTGCGACCAGCAGAGTACACTTAGGCTTTAGAGAACAAAAGCTGCAGAACGCTGCAAATTTAGGATTCAGAGAGCATAAACAAGAGAAAGACGTTTCATGGACAATGCTTCTATGAGTGATAGTGCTATCCTGTTTGAGATGCTTTGCAGATTTCATTAACGCTTCTAAGTCAAGGCGTTACAAAGGAATCCACTTCTGAAAGATTTCAGAAATTCCTGGAAAGGGTACATTTCCGGAGAGGAGGCGAGCAATATTCTCTCTTGTTCTCTCCTAAAGGGCTGAAGGTTATACAGAATTGGAGAACTGTAATACCTTTGGGATCAATGTCTTGTTTTATGAAAAAGTGCCCTTAGGTTATGAAAACGACGTGTAGAAGAAACAAGTCCAAGCCGGCGCACTGGCTTGGCCTGTAATCCTAGCTACTCCGGACGCTGAGGCGGGAGGATCCTTTGAGCCCGAGAGTTGAGGCCAGCTCAGGGAATAAAGCAAAACTAAACTAAAATAATAATAAAATGCCACTTAAAAGTAATAATCTAGATTTGGAATAGAATATAGTAGCTAGTGAAAGTGCAGGTTTGTTGCTGGCTTGAAGATAGACCAATCAGAGCTTGTAACGTCATACTCAGAGTCTTCTATCATCCAATCACTGCACTTTACATACTATAAAAAGCAGAGCTGCTCTCGGCGTGCTTACATTACTGTTTGCTCTTGTGCTGTGTGTTTCCTTCTGTTATGGCTCGCACTAAGCAGACTGCTCGGAAGTCTACGGGTGGCAAAGCGCCGCGCAAACAGCTGGCCACCAAGGCGGCTCGCAAGAGCGCTCCCGCCACCGGTGGCGTGAAAAAGCCTCACCGGTACCGCCCCGGCACCGTGGCTTTGCGCGAGATCCGCCGTTATCAGAAGTCCACAGAGCTGCTGATTCGTAAACTACCTTTCCAGCGCCTGGTGCGCGAGATTGCGCAGGACTTTAAAACGGACCTGCGTTTCCAGAGTTCCGCTGTGATGGCTCTGCAGGAGGCGTGTGAGGCCTACTTGGTAGGGCTGTTTGAAGACACCAATCTGTGCGCCATCCACGCCAAGCGCGTTACTATCATGCCCAAGGACATCCAGCTCGCTCGCCGCATCCGCGGAGAGCGGGCGTAATTACTCTGGCATCTTTCACTGCCCAATCAAAGGCTCTTTTCAGAGCCACCACATGCTCAAGGAAAGTAGCTGTAAGTAACCAACGTAGAGGAAAGGAAATGCACTGGGGCCACTTTTCGGCTCACCACCAAAAGTTTAAAAACCATTCCATTTTGGCCGGTCACGGTGGCTCGTGCCTGTAATCCCGCACTTTAGGGCGCTGAGGCGGGCCGATCACCCGAGGTCAGGAGATCGGGATTAGCCTCGCCAACATAGCTAAACCCGGTGTCCAATAAAAATACAAAAAGAAGCTGGGCGTGATGGCGAGGGCCTGTAATCTCAGCCATACTCAGGAGGCTGAGGCAGGAGAATCGCTTTGAACCTTGCAGGCAGCGGTTTCAGTGAGTTGAGATCGCACCGATGCACTCCAGCCTGGGCTGCAGAGCTATACTCGTCTCAAAGTATTCGGCTTAAAATAGATTTGAAATGAGAATTGGTTTACTTTGACACTTTGTTACTCAAAACGTAATGATGTAACTCTGCTAAGAAAATAAAAGGCCATTGGTCAAGCCAATTTGGTTCCACCCTCGTTTCCCCACCCGCTGCTCCTGCCAGTTCCTGAGGCTTGGAGGAGGGGTTAAGGGAGGGGACTGTAGACGTCACATTCCCGCCTGCGCACTTCTTATTTTGTGTCTACTTGGGGTTGGGGGAAGGTAGATATATAAAGATCGGTTCCCCTATTCTCTCACTTGCTCTTGGCTCACTTTTTGGGAAGTCATGTCTGGACGTGGTAAGGGCGGGAAGGGTTTGGGTAAGGGGGGCGCCAAGCGCCACCGCAAGGTGTTGCGTGACAACATCCAGGGCATCACCAAGCCGGCCATCCGGCGCCTTGCCCGGCGTGGCGGGGTCAAGCGGATATCTGGTCTGATCTACGAGGAGACTCGAGGGGTGCTCAAGGTGTTCTTGGAGAACGTGATCCGTGACGCTGTCACCTATACGGAACACGCCAAGCGTAAGACGGTCACTGCCATGGACGTGGTCTACGCGCTCAAGCGCCAGGGACGCACCCTTTACGGCTTTGGCGGTTAAGGTTGCCGATATCTCCACAGCTTGCGTTTCTAGACAAAAGGCCCTTTTCAGGGCCGCCCAACTAAACAAAAGAAGAGCTGTATCCATTAACCCAAGAAGTCTGGTGTATGATTAACATGAATGATACTGAGCTGACAACCCAGACAGCAAAGAAGATTACGGGAATTTAGTCCCCGCCACTCACTAGATACGGGTAGGCGAGCAGCGATATTCTTACTCTGAAAAATGAATGGAAAAAACCAAGTAGTGATAAGAATTTGTATTAGTTTCCAAGGAACAAAGAGAAGCGCTGCCCAATCAGTGAGCCTTATTAATAGCTGTTAACCAATCAGAGCTGATGAGCTAATACTTTCTCAGGCAATCCAGAGAGCGCGAGGGGAAAGCTAATGTTTATTGAGAAACGACTAAACCTTTTCAGGAAAAAAATCTTTTTTAGGGATTATGAAAGAAAATCAGAGATTTTTTAAGTATCCTTCAATCATGCACTGAGAGCAGTACTAAATTTATTGCCACCAATACGATTTGCCTCGATTAAAAAAAAACCCTGAAAATTGAAGCCGAATTCAGACTCCTAGAATATCCAGGACACTAAATTTAGGGGAGATTAAAACTGGTTTAGAGAGAAAAGCGCCTATTTCTGTGTTAATGCAGCCTTCAGCAGTTAGCCATGTTTTTTCCCCCCTTTACATAGAAATGGAAATTTGGGTGATAGAAATATTCTGAAATTAGATTGTGATGATGGTTGTACAACTAAGTAACATGGTAAAATTCATTGAATTGTACGTAAAGTGGGTAAACCTTATGGTATGCAAAATATCAGTAAAGCTGATATTATATACATACACATATGTATTTCTATATACACACAGAGAGAGAGAAATGATGCAGGCAGGGTGGCAGGACATGAGGTTGTTAGCCTAGGCACTGTTGGTCTGTGAAGGGCCTCTTGGGCTAAACTTGGAAGCCTGGGCTTTGTCCAGTCAAGTCATTATAGCCATAGTATTAAAGGATGTTCTTGATCCAGTTATGTGTTCCAGTACTACATCAAGCTTCAGAACTCAGCAGGAAAATGATGTGAACTTACCTGAAGTTAGCTAATAGGGAAAAATCTTACTCTCATCTGAATAGATATTCACAAATGCCTTTGTCATTGTGCTCTTTGTACCATTGTTACAGAGGACTGATTTTGGCCTCGCTATGTTGGCTTCAGTGATGGATGTCTTTTTATTTTGGGGTCCTGTTTTCCACCTGACAGTTTTCATCCAGGATTTCTTGGGGGAATTTACACATGTACACAGCTTGGTTTAATTTAAAACTGACAATGAAAAGAATTAGTAGCTGCATCCTGGATGGTTTTAGGAATCGAAGAGTCAGAAGAACAAAAATGAGCCTGGGTACAGAAGGTGGGTCATTTTATGTCTGAAAGCTGGTATTCTAGAGATATTTATTGATCTTATATGCCAGATATTGTTGTAGACATTGGGGTACGTAAGTTAGTAAATTATAATTCCCTTTCCTGAATTCCAGAGTCAATGTAGAGAGGTATGTGGATATAGATTTCACATATGGGAGGTATGGTTGCTATAACAATATCCATAAGTAGCTCCTGTTATGGTTTGCCTGGCCTTTTTAGTTCATAGCATTGCTGATAGATCATAGTCATCTTAGACATTCTCACCACCACCTTTAGCCTTCTTCAATCCTAACACTCATGCAGTCCTTGCTCAGAACAAAGCTAATGTTGCTTAATTAGCAAGCCCTGCACTATCCCCCGAGACTTTCTAGAGAGAAACTACACGATGATTGCTTCAGGCAGTGGCAGGTCAAGGAATGAGAGATGGGGAATTGATTGTGGTAGCATTCTAATGGGCTTAGTGGGAGCCTGGAGACTTATATAGAAGATTCGTGCATGCATTCATTCAACAAACCTCCATAAACTACCTATTAATTGTTAGGCCTGTTCTAGGTGCTGGGCATACTTCTGGGAAAAAGCAAAGTCCCTACCTTCAAAAAATATATTCCAGTTGAGGGAGAGAGAACAAACACAAAATAATATATGTACATATATATATAGTTATATGTATTTTTGTTAAATATATTGTTATATATGTGTGTACATATATATGCTATTTGAGCATAGTCAGCTATATACATGTCAAATGAGCAGAAAAGCTTAATATTTTACAAAGGATGATCATAGGCGATCTCTTAAGGTTGGTATTTGAGCAGAGGCTTGAATGAAATGAGATCTAGAGCTCTTCAGATTTCCAGGGTTAGACGCTTCTAGGGAGAAAGAATAAATATAAAGAAGCTGATGCTGGAAATGGTTGGTGCATTCCAGAAACAGCAAGGGGTCAGTGAAGAGAAATAACTGTGAAGAGACTGAGGTCAGAGGGTAGCCAGGGTACAGATCTAGTAGGGCCTCCCAAGTAGGTTGAGCAACTCATCCTAGTTTGCTTGGGACTTTCTAAGTTTCAGCGCTGAAAGTCCTATACCCTGAGAAACACCTGAGAATTAGGCAAACTGAAATTGTTGGTCATCTGACTTCTAGGCTATGATAAAGATGCTGGTTTTTATTATGAAGGTGATGGAAAGCCACTGGAATGTTTTCAGCAGACAGTGGACATAATAACTTTAGAAAGGATCACTGTTGCTGTTGGATAGATAAAAAACTGTATGATAAGGGGATTAAAAGTGAAAACAAAGACCAGTTAGAGGTTACTGTGTTCATTCAGACAAACCGCCATGGCAGCTTTCTCCTAAAGCAGCAGCAGAAAAAGCAGTGAAAGGTATTTTGACTGATTTTCAACAGAGTGAACTGCATTGGATGAAAGTTGTAAGAAGCTCAGAACAAACAAGATTGCACAATTCCTGGCACAAGCTGCTTGAAAAATGGAGTCCTATTGATTGATGCGAGGAATATCAGAGGAAGAACAGACTTGGTGTTTATGTATAAACACATTTATATTGGACAAGTTTGAGATGCCCATTAGATATTCATGTAGATAAATATGCAGTTGTATATGAGTCAGGGAGATGATTTATAACTGCAAACACTTTTTTTTTTTTTTTTTTTTGAGAGTTTCACTCTTGACATCCAGGCTGGAGAGCAGTAGTGCGATCTCAGCTCACTGCAACCTCCACCTCCTGGGTTCAAGAGATTTTTCTGTCTCACCCTCCAGGGTAGCTGGGATTACAGGTGCCCGTAATCACGCCCAGTTAATTTTTTGTATTTTTAGTAGAGATGGGGGGTTTCACAGTGTTGACCAGGCTGGTCTCGAACCCCTGACCTTAGGTGATCCACCCATCTCAGCCTTCCAAAATGCTGGGATTATAGCCACCACAAAGGCCGATTTTTCTGAAACAATGTTTCATTCTGAAGCTTTAAATGGGTGGAAGCAAACTGATAGAATTTGGAGAGGTGGTTAGGCTTCGTGGGAATGAGGAACAGGCAGAAGCTGACACTAGCACAGGCTTTGGCATTGCTAGAAGTTAACGTGACACTTACAGCTAGGCTTTGGTGTTTTCCTGTTGAACGTAAACTATTTCACGGAACACTGAGCATGTAAGTGGTGAGGCTAGGTGAATACACCAAGAAAAGAGAAGTTCAAGAACTGAGCCAAAATAGAGTATGTATGCAGTGGCGTACAGCTTTCTCGTTTTTTAGTAGGGCTGTGTAGAAATAGTCTATTTTATAGATATATAGATCACATTCTATCCAGTTCCTTCTGCTGAAACTTTACAGTTCCCACTCAGTTACTAATACAAACAATGCTGCACGACATTATATTTGTTTTTGTGTTTTTTTGAGACAGAGTCTCGCTCTGTCTCCAGGCTAGAGTGCAGTGGCGCGATCCCGGCTCACTGAAACTTCGGTTTCCTGGTTTCAAGCAATTCTCCTGCCTCAGCCTCCCGAGTAGCTGGGACTACAGGCACGCACCACCACGCCCGGCTAATTTTTTGTACTTTTTAGTAGAGACGGTGTTTCACCATGTTGGCTAGGATGGTCTCAATCTCTTGACCTCGTGATCTACCCGCCTCAGCCTCCCAACTGCTGGGATTACAAGCTATATTTCTGTTTTTAGCCATCTCATTTGGTCTCAGCATTTATTTATTTGCTGATGGCTCTCCCATTTTTATCTCCAGCCCAGACCTCTCACCTGAACTCACTGATTCAACTGCCTATGCACTATGTCTTCCTGTCAAGAGAGGCTTGTTAGCAATGTAACCAGGCAACAAAGTTTTTTTTTTGTTGAAGTAGTCATCAATGTATTTGTTACTAAATCAAAGTTGCTGAATATTTGGGTGACTTCTAAATTTGGTCATCTAACTTTGAAACTGTTTTCCTAACTACGCTGTATAGTTTAAAATTTTCACAATTAAAAAAATCACTTTTGTAATTTAAGGCAATTCCAATTTAAGGCAGCGATATTAGACTGTTGGGTTGACAGGTACAGTGAAGATGCAAGTCATCTGAGAACCCTGTATCAGAGGAGGCTTCCATCTTACAGCTACTGTCACGGACCTCGGTATCAAGAGGAAATTATGAGTCCTTATTTATAAAAAACTCCTTTAGTCTACTAAGTGAAAATTAAACTGCCTAGGCAGCCTGATTAGCAGAGCCTCCAGCCTAAGGACTGAAACTAGCAAAGCTGCTTAAACCAGCAGACTACTGGGGGAGGGAGGGGAAAGGAGTAGATGACGTCACTCAGCAGGACGCCAAGCTGAACTAGAAACGGAGATGAAGGCTTCTGGCGCAACGGACAGGTAGGGGGGTTAAGGGGGGCAGGTGGTGGGGGTTAAGGAGAGCAGGTGCGGGGGGGGGGTGTTAAGGAGGGCAGGTGTTACCAGGGAGGCTAAAAGTGCAGACCTTAGCTGATGTTGCTGAAGTCAGATATGCCTGGGAAACAACTGACTTCTATTTTAATCGACCTACCCACTTGCAGGCGCCTGGCACCCAAGCTCTTTTAAAAATAAGTTTTTAAGTATTTGTACAACTAAAAAGCTGAACAATTTATTGGACTGGCGCTACACGGCAAAGCTTTTTTGTGTGTCAAATGCGTAGCATTAAAGTTAATAGTTCACTTAACAGGAAACGTAGGACAATATAGACCACTAATATGCAAGATGCCAGGGGTCCACACCCTTTAGATTCTCCTCCGCTGGAGGAAACCCCAGTAGCCTGGGAAATCCGACTCCTTGAGCAGCCACTCAGACTTAAGAACCTGGTGTTTCCCAACTGGCCTATATAAGTGGTGCACGCTAGGTACAGAGTGGCTGAGAAAGCCAAAACGTAGATCTCAAACAATACAGTCACTGCTCTTTTTGAGAGGGAGTGGGCGGCCCTGAAAAGGGCCATTGGGAAGAAAAACAAAAAAAATTAACCACCGAAGCCATACAGAGTGCGGCCCTGACGCTTCAGCGCGTAAACCACATCCATGGCAGTGACAGTCTTTCTCTTGGCGTGCTCCGTGTAGGTCACCGCATCTCGGATCACATTCTCCAGGAAGACCTTGAGTACCCCGCGAGTCTCCTCGTAAATTAAACCCGAGATTCGCTTTACCCCGCCACGCCTGGCCAGGCGTCGGATAGCAGGCTTGGTAATGCCTTGGATATTATCTCGTAGCACTTTACGGTGACGCTTGGCGCCTCCTTTACCCAAGCCTTTGCCGCCTTTGCCACGACCAGACATGCTTTAGCGATTCTAGGCCGAAGAAAGACAATGCGAAAACAAAGCACGCCAGGAGCATTTATTTACTACCATCGGACCTTATTGAGAACTGAAAGAGGTAGCCAGGGTAAGGAGGCGTTGCTGCCTCACCCTTTGCTCCGCCCCTCTCAGGGACTGACCTAAGGACTGTGAGCGATACAATAGTTTCACTTTTTAATCCCTTTAGAGTTTTCCCTTGCCATTTACAACGCTACTGTTGGAATCTAAAGCTATTATACCTTCGAGTGTGAATTTTAATAAGGGTTTATATTAGGGGCTTTCATTAATATGCCAAAGTGGTAAACTTTTAAAGTCCTTCAAGTGCTTGAAGATATATTGACTATTTAAATAAAAGGAAATGAAGAAAAGGGCAGGTGTGAAAAGATCGCTTGGCCTTCTGTTTTCTTGAGAGCTGACCTTTTGTTTCTTAAAAGCAGTAGGTGAAATTCTCATATAAAAGATGTTCTCACTATGCTTTAAACATCCTCTTCTTAAGGATGGGAGGCTGAAGCAAAGAGAATTCTGTACAAACTTTGCTAAACGAGCCTTTCCTGGCCGCTTCTCTACCCAGTTATATATCCTAGCCTAAATCCCTTTGCTTTAGCGATTCTTCTCAGTTTACTGTTCTTTGTCCAATTCATTATAGAAACAACTAACTGCATTTTTGGGCCTTCATTTGTTTATGAGAGCACCTGTGCCCCGTAAAACTTGTGTTAAATAAATGCATATACCTTCCCTCTCTTAATCTATTTTATATTAGTTTCATTTGCTGGTTCAGCCAGAGCCCTAAGAGGATGGGGGCGGAGTTTTGCTGTCCCTTCACACTGTACTGTTTCAGAAGAGGCTGATTATTAGCTATGTAACATTGCCACCATGCCTTCCTCTGTAAAACACCAGTTTTTTCATCAAAAACTGGTGTTACTGATGATAATCAGGGGACTTTTAATTACCTAATGTGAACAAGTCATGAGAACAGAGACTGGAAAAGAGATATTACACATGTTTTAAATTTAGATGTTACTACTTAAACAATCTGCCCAGACGTTGGGATATTGCCTTGAACTCTCATTTTCGGGTGTTTACTCCCAACTCTATGTTGCTAGCAGCAAATATGTATGTCTTAGTAGGGACTGTTTTTAAAAATTACAGCCTGTAATAACTTACAAGGTGTTGACAGATTCTGTTTTTTCATATGTGACATGTTAAAATCGTCCAAAAACATTCCTTTGTTCTCTTTTCCAAAGTGGGTAACAATAGCAGCCTTTGTGCCTTCCCGTAGCCAAGCATGGAGTGCAGTTCAAATCTCCATAAACGGTTGTTTTAAATTTCCTGAAAACACTTGTAAATAATTTCTATTGGAAGAACTGGAATGGCTACTGCTATATTTTTAAGCCTGAAAAGTGCAAACTGAACTTGACTTCTTACTCTGAGAATCTTAGCCTTTTCACCCAAATCTAACAAACCAAAACTGCTTTTACACTCCCAACAGCATTAGCTGTAAACTTCAGCCTATAGTATAATATTCACTTTGTGGTAGGAACAATCAGCATTTAAGGCAAACAAAAATCCCTGTTGTAGGAAGGCCTTTACCTCTACTCTGTTATGTTCTCCAACTGGACCTGAGAATTAATTTGCCATAAAACAGCTTAACAGAACAAAAACATACAAATTTATTTCATATAAATTTTATGGGACAGGTAAACGCTTATAAGAAAGTGAAGACCCAAAGAAACGACAAAAACTAAATGCTTTCACATTAATTTAAAGAGAGGCAATTGTGGGAAAGTAATTAAATCATATGGGTAGATTAAAGGAAAATAGCATTATTTTAACAAGGTTTGTAAATAGCAGTCTCTCAGCTATGACTCCCTGCTGTGTTTGTGCAGAATTATCTCATCTATGATTCTGCTGAAGAATATTTCTTTTCTCCTGGTACATGGAGAGCATTTTTCACGTTGAAATTTGTATCTCCTGTTTTTAGAAAGAAAAGGTAATATTAGAAGAATTGCCTTCTTGAGTTGGCCATTTTTGAAGTGCCTTTAGCTCAAAAGAATTCTCATGCCACAGTGGCCTATTTTTGGGTGGCATATTCTGCAAACACCCCCTTCTCATCTTCAATCTCACCTTAATTACTCCTCTAATACAAAAGAATAGATTCTTTTTTTTTTTTTTTTTTTTGAGACGGAGTTTTCCTCTTGTTACCCAGGCTGGAGTGCAATGGCGCAATCTCGGCTCACCACAACCTCCGCCTCCTGGGTTCAGGCAATTCTCCTGCCTCAGCCTCCTGAGTAGCTGGGATTACAGGCACGCGCCACCATGCCCAGCTATGTTTTGTATTTTTAGTAGAGACGGGGTTTCACCATGTCGACCAGGATGGTCTCGATCTCTTGACCTCGTGATCCACCCGCCTCGGCCTCCCAAAGTGCTGGGATTACAGGCTTGAGCCACTGCGCCCGGCAAAACAATAGATTCTTAATGCAATGATATTAAAAAGTTTGTTGCACTACTCCCCAATATAAAATGCTCAATAAATTTTCTTTCACAAATGAGAATTTCATCCATTATTTAATTTTTAAATATTACCTATAAATGAAAAGTTATAGCAGAATCCTTGTTCTGTTGAGGAGGGGGCAAAGAATGTAAGTGGGGGAGGGATCCATCTTATCCTTACATAGTAATGTCACTTTATTCTTTTATGCTATTCGTCAGACCCTGTACCGCCAACACCTATTTTTTCTTATAAAGAAAATGTAAAGAAAAAATTCAAGCACTGTACATCAGATTCAGCACACCTATAAGTGGAAAAAACAAAATACTTGACCTTGAGCTGGGCCCAGGGCTTGGGGGCAGTCACCTTGGCATAGACCCGATCCATTGGCATCTCTGACATACCCTGTCTGTGGATAACAAGTGTCTATGCCAGGTAGGGTCGCTTGTACAGAATCAAGAAAAATGAAATGTGAAACACACAAATACATTCATTTTCATGTTTTTTTAAATGCAAATATTTGGTAAACCAAAACTGCTTTATTAAAACCTGGGACACACATGAATTTAAATAAATGATGAAATTCAAATGTAATCTTTTTTGTGTGTGGTTTGTTGACAGTTGGCCAGCTGATTTTAGCATGGTATATCAATTCACATTCTAGATGTGGGCCAAGAAAAAATGTTACGTGTAAAAAAGAATGTGAGGCAAAGTGTTTGGAATTAATAGTTTTAATGTTTGACAGGATGTGGTTGTTCTAAAGTTGGTTTGTAAAATGTATGCTGGGTCAACAGTTAAAGACAAAGTTAGTAGCTAGCTATGGATAAAAGGGGAGAGCAGTTAGATCCCTGCCTCACATATTGCACCAGAATTGCAGGTTAATGTGATCAGCCAACGTTTTAAATACGTATATACATACAATATATAATGAAAACCTAGAGGGCTATGTATTAGGCAGAGAAAATCCTTCCAAGGATGTTGAGCACACAGCCGTATTTTCGTTAACGATAAAAGACAGTTATCACAGCTACTTCCGTTGGAATAATTGGGTGGCTCTGAAAAGAGCCTTTGGGTTTTAGACTGATCAAAAGTTAGTTTTGCATTTACGCTCTCTCTCCCCGAATGCGACGAGCGAGCTGGATGTCCTTGGGCATGATAGTCACCCGCTTGGCGTGGATGGCGCACAGGTTGGTGTCCTCAAAGAGCCCCACCAGGTAGGCCTCGCAGGCCTCCTGCAGCGCCATCACCGCGGAGCTCTGGAAGCGCAGGTCGGTCTTGAAGTCCTGCGCGATCTCGCGCACCAGGCGCTGAAAAGGCAGCTTTCTGATCAGCAGCTCGGTGGACTTCTGGTAGCGGCGGATCTCGCGCAGGGCCACGGTGCCGGGCCGGTAGCGGTGCGGCTTCTTCACGCCTCCGGTGGCAGGAGCGCTCTTGCGGGCTGCCTTGGTAGCTAACTGCTTGCGCGGCGCTTTGCCGCCAGTAGACTTGCGAGCAGTCTGTTTTGTACGAGCCATGACAAAAAAACGAAAAAATAATCAGAGAGAAAAGCCCACCTTCAGAGACGTCTGTGAAGGAAAAAGAGCTACTCTTCTTTTATAGCATCAGAACACCAACTATTGGCCACAAGAAAATTCAAAAATCCCCGCGCCTTTCTTGGATTGGTCCATCTCTGTGCCTGGTTGCAGATTAAGAGAGGCTTTCAGGTTGAAGAAAGAATTCAATGTCCTGCCCATAACTGTAACTGCTCTGACGTCATTTTGTTAACCCCTGAGCTGCTAGATCCACTGTGGACAAAAGTCTTGAACTGAAAATGCTTTCTAGTCTTAAAATTTGCCACCACAGAAAGCAATGCGGAAACCTCCAATATTTTCTAGTTAAAGAAGAAAAGAAATCAAAGAATATTGGAGGCGTCAAGAAATCTGCATATGTGCTTTATTTAAAATGATAGCTTTTTCTGGGTGTGGCATGAGTAGTGTGGGCAATTAGAAAAATTCTTAGCCGGGCGTGGCGGCTCACGCCTGTAATCCCAGCTACTCTGACGGCTGAGGATCTCGAGCTCGAGTTCGAGGTTACAGTGAGCTATTATCACGCCACTACACTCCAGCTTGAGACAGGGGGAGACCATCTCAAAACAAAGCACCCCCCCAAACCGGAAAAAAGCTCATTTTGGTAAATACATGCTAAAACGTTCAGTGGTAATGTGTATTCTCTCAATTGCTGCAGAGAATTTTATGACGTTTTCTCACATGGGGCATGGGGGTTTTAACACTTTCATCAGAAACACTAATTTAGGAGTACACTCAAGGGTATAATTTTCTTTCTCCAAAATGTAGTTAAATGCTTGGTGTGAAGGTTAGCGAGAATCATCCCCTATGTGTAATGTTTTGCGTGCTGCGTGGCTTTTCTCCCACCTACCTAGATCTCCTGAAGGTTTCTAGGGAGCCAGATTTCTGCAGTGGAAATTACAACGTTATAGGACCTTATTTTACCTCAAAAACATTTGTACGGGCAGCCTAATCCAAAGCACAACAGCTCGTTTAACGGAAGTCGTAGGTGGCTCTGAAAAGAGCCTTTGTTGTTAGGCAGATTTGGTCTGCTCAGAAAAACAGCAGTGCTTGGAGCGTTAGTGTTTCACTTTCCCTTGGCCTTGTGGTGGCTCTCGGTCTTCTTGGGCAGCAGCACGGCCTGGATGTTGGGCAGGACGCCGCCCTGCGCGATGGTCACGCGTCCTAAGAGCTTGTTGAGCTCCTCGTCGTTGCGGATGGCCAGCTGCAGGTGGCGCGGGATGATGCGGGTCTTCTTGTTGTCGCGGGCCGCGTTGCCCGCCAGCTCCAGGATCTCGGCGGTCAGGTACTCCAGCACTGCCGCCAGGTAGACCGGCGCGCCGGCCCCGACCCGCTCAGAGTAGTTGCCCTTGCGGAGCAGGCGGTGCACGCGGCCCACGGGGAACTGGAGACCAGCGCGAGAAGAGCGGGTCTTGGCCTTGGCTCGGGCTTTACCGCCCTGCTTGCCGCGTCCAGACATGGTTTCCTCGGCGAAAAAAGAAAATCCTCCACATAAAAATGTAATGAGAATACCTTACGAGGGAAGGCAGAGAAGTATTTATACTGACTGGAGGTAGCTTGTGGGGAATGCTTCCATTGGCTAATGTCAAATACCCAATGGGAAATCAGAATCTGCATCCTTCATTTGCATGTAATTCTTCCATCTGGTGAAAGGTTTGTATGTCTGACCCAATGACGAGTCTGGCTTGACGAGACTTCGACTGGAATACTAATAATTGACCCAATTGGGATTTTCTTAAAATACCTTTTTATGGAAGTTTTGTACTGGCTATTTTGACTTTTAGCCGCTCGTAGTTTTCCGGGAGTGTGACTCATGGTTTTGGAAAGGAGTGGACTCCAATTTCTAAATATATAATATTTAACAAGCCCTTCAAACCGGGCGCGGTGGCTCTTACCCGTAATCCCAGCACTTCGGGAGGCCGTGGGTGGCTGGTCAGGCGTTCGAGACCAGCGTGGACAACATGGAGAAATCCTGTCTCCACTAAAATACCAAAATGGCCGGGGGGTGGTGGAGAGTCGGCCTTGGTGGTGCGCGCCTGTAGTTCCAGCTACTGCAGAGTAGGATCCCTTGAACCTGAGAAGCGGAGGTTGCAGCGAGCTAAGAGATCCATGGCACTCCAACTTGAGAGACAGAGCAAGGAGACTGGAATAAAAAGGGTGGGATGGGGGTTGGGGTGGGGGTGGGAGGGAAGAAAAGCCAATACTCCAAATCCCAGTGAATTGCAGAAGTTTATAAGCTCTCTTCATAAGGGAGAGAGAAGGGGGATGTAGGAAAACCGGGGAAAATGTATGATTTGGGAGAAAAAGAAATGGGTGTTTCAAAGAATAGGTGACAGCCGTGACAAAGTGTCTAGATGGTGTTAACCTCCAGTTTCCTGTTTCGTGATACAGTTCATCTTCTCTGGTTAATGACATTGTCTAGAAAAGTGATTCTTGACAACTAAATTCCTTCTTGAAATTCTGCCTACATTTTGAAATTTTTGATGATAAGAATTCACAGAAAGCCCGTCCCTGAATGTACTGTTTCCTACTGTTTCCTAGGTGCTGTCTGTTCACATCAGCATACCAAAGTGGCATATTTTAGAGTTGCATTTCCTGAACTCTTTTGTAACACTGAATGAGGAGTCTGGAATCTTTCAGGGAATGACGGAAGAAACATTTCATAACGCAGAAATACTCAAAATGGGATTATTATCATAAAAGTGTTTCTCTGAACTTCTGCCTTCCTAAGTCCCATTCTCCCCAGAGGCTAACCATAGAAACTAGGATTCCTCCTCAGGGTGGGCCATACAAACCAGAACTTCTTTTCCCCAGAGCCAGCTATAAAACCTAAAAATATCAGTCTAACCTACCTTGTTTGCCTGTAGGTCATAAGACCCTCCCCCCCATTCTCAAAGAGGGTCTTGTCCCTTAACAAGAAGGAAAGAATGCTGCACTGAGAGGTCAAGAAGAATCTTGACAGACAAGCCTTACAGGGCTTCCCCACTCAGTCTGTTCGCATTAGATCATATCCTATACAGCTGTTTATATTGTTGAACCTAGGCATAAAAATGGGCAATTGCCCCTGTGTTTTTCAGTCTTCATTCTAAAAGCTCCTGTAAAGTTGTGATGCAATAAATGTATACACCTTTTCTCCAATTAATCCATGTTTTGACAGTAATTTTCAATGAACCTTGGGAGGGCAAAGGGGAAGTTTTCCCTTGGCCCGGACAGTATTATTAGTCATTACCTGGCTCTCTTGTTGAGGAACCTAAAATCAAGCAGAATTGAGTAGAGAAATCTTGCTGTTTTCCTTTTATATTCCGTGAAACAGGAGCAGATGGGGTCCGGATGAAGGTGGATTACTTATTCCAGGAATTTCTGAGGTATCTACTACTTCTATCTTTGGTCTACTTACACTCAAACAGGATGGCAGAAGCAAAAAGAGCCATGGATGTAAGAAAATCTGCTCCTGGCTGGGCGCAGTAGCTCACGCCTTTAATACCAACACTTTGGGATGCTGAGGCAGGCAGATCACTTGAAGTCAGGAGTTCATAATCAGTCTGGCCAACATGGTGAAACCCCGGTCTCTACTAGAAATACAAAAAATTAGCCGGGCGTAGTGGTGGGTGCCTGTAATGCCAGCTACTCCGGAGACTGAGGCAGGAGAATCGCTTGAACCCTAGAGGCGGAGATTGCAGTGAGCCGAGATTGTGCCTCTGCATTCCAGCATTCCAGCCTGGGCTAGAGCGAAACTCCATCTCAAAAAAAAAAAAAAGAAAGAAAATCTGTTCCTTACAATCAGGAGAAGGGCAAAAAATAAAAATTAAAAACAGAAAATCTGCTCCTAAGCCAACGCTGTCACAGAATAATCGATTTGATTCAGAGAAACTGTCAGGAGACTAAAAGCACTCATTTTTAAAAATTTTTTTGCATTTTCCCAAGTCTTCTGACTGGTGATATTTTCCCCCTCAACATTCAACCTCCCTTTTCAAAATTATAATGATCTTCGCCCTCAACAATAGCAGTAAATATCAGTAACCACTGGCTCATTTTCTTTAAAAAGGTGCAAGACTTATGATGGAGATGTTAACAAGTTAGATACTGCCCTAAAGAGTTTATACTCTGAGAAGGGAGAACTTGGATACCTAAAGATTAAATAGCAGTGCACATTCTGCATACAAATTCAAGGTTTTGAGCAATAAATAATACAAAAGCACATAGAAAAGAATATTGATCACTGTAAATTAGAAGGAGTTCAGGAGGGAGATGTGCATCCAGCATTAGTTCAGCATATATTTACTGAAAACCTGCTAAGTGCCAGAGAGTGTTCTAGGTGCAGGGAGCACAGCAGTGAAACAGCAGACAACAACCTGTTTCCCTAGGGTGCTGCTTTTCTTGTAGGGGGAGGTGCACAATAAGGTGAATACACAGTAAAAATGTGGAGATAAGTGATGAGTGCTATGGAGAAAAAGAAAGAGGATAAGAAACAAGAATAGGGATAAGGAGGGAAAGCTTCATCAGGAGAATGTCATTTGAATTCACACCTGAAAGCAATGAAGAAGCCAGCCAAGTAGGAAGAATAAATACTTCAATAAAATGCTGGATGGATGGGAAGTCCAGAAAATGTCAGGAACCAAGGATCAGAAGGTATAGCAATTCTCACTTCCGGAACAAATCGTAGCTCATTCTGGAAAGTGCCCTCGTTATGTACAGGGCTAGATAAAACTGAAACCATGATTAAGGGTAGCTTTAAAAACTCAGGCTAGAAAGCAGGAGTACATGCAGTCACAATATCAGTAATCTATACTCCATTGGTCCGTGAAGGAGAAAAACTGTTCACCTCATCCAAGTTACCTTGAATGAAGCAAAGCTACAAGTGCCTGATATGTGCTATTGGAAAATGACTTGATGGGAATCCTTTCGGTAAGTGCCTCAAAACCGGTAAATTCTAGGCACTTGCCTTTGAATAACATACAAAAGGCAGATATTGGGGAAGGAGATATTGGGGGTTATTTATTCCTT